AAATCCATGCAGTGTCTGGCAGACAAAACAGGGATGTTGGGACTGGGAGTGCAGCTCAGTGATAAGAGCACTGTGCATAGCATGTGGGAGGCCCTGTGTTCAATCCCCAGCACTGCAAAGAGGAGAGGAGAGGAGAGGAGGAGGAGGAGGAAGAAATAAAATAAATTTAAAAAGCCAGAGGGCTCATGTGATATGAGAGAGACAGAGACAGAGACAGAGAGATTGGCCACAAATGGTACAATGAAAAAAATATGTGAATCACTCAACCTCTCTGAATCTCTTTTTTCTTTTTCACATAAAACTGATGGATGAATCTCTATTGTGTGGGATTAAATGGGATAATGTATAAGAAAGCGCCATGTGTAAGAACACAACAAAGATTCAGGAATGCTATGACCTTAGTTAATAATACTAAAGGAAGGACTGGTGGAGCTGCTCAAATGGTAGAACTACTACCTAATCCTAAAGGTACATTTGATCTCAACATAGGTGTTCCATTTTATTTATTTTAGGTGCTTATTTTTAAAAAGTAACTTCCTTTTGGGAGTCTCTTACAAAATGAGGACTCCTAATTTTTAGCCTTACAAATCCAGATTTTATATATGATAAGATTTTGACAGGGGAGCGGGGGGAGAGATGGCCCAAACAATGTATACACATATGAATAAATGAATAAACAATTTAAAAAATGTTATCTAGAAAAAAAACAGGAAAAAAAGATTTTGACAATTCAGTTATGGAGATTTTTTAAAACAATTTTGTTAGCTGGGTGCCAGTAGCTCACACCTATAATCCTAGCTACTCAGGAGACAGAGATCAGGAGGATCAAGGTTCGAAGCCATCCCAGACAAATAGTTTGCAAGACCCTATCTCAAAACAAACCTCATCACAAAAAAAAGAGCTGGTGAAGTGGATTGAGGTGTAGACTCTCAGTTCAAATTCCAGTACTGCAAAAAAAAAAAAATCGTTAAATCAGGATTAACTGGGTTTAGAGATTCTTATGGTTCCTACCTTAGCACTGAAAAAGAATTGTTAAGAGGGGTGCTGGGAATTGAACCCAGGGCTTGGCACAGGCTAATGTACTTCACCTCTGAGCTACACCCCCACCCCCATGAAAATCATTCTAAACTGCCAGAATCTCCTTTCTTGCTCAAAGTTCATGCTACTGAATATACTGGGTTTGCTTTTTGATAGTAGAGGATCTTAGGACACTTTGGGGTTTTGTAAGTCAAAAAAAGTGAGTGCTGGTCTATGGGCATGACTCAAGCAGTAGAGAGCATGCCTAGCAAGCATGAGTCCCTGAGTTCAAACCACAGTACCACCAAAAAAAAAATTTATAAGTGCTGAGAGGAACCTTCTACAATCTAGCATTATATTACAAATCAGGATACTACTGAAGTCAGGAAAAGTGATTCAAAACAATCATACTCACGAAAGACTGGTGCAATTATTTGAATATCAATTTAAAATAAGGATAGTGTTCCAAGACCATAAAATCTCAATGTTCCCTATCCAGGAAAGCTCCTCCCCTCTGCTGGAAGTGTATTCATCAGCAAGAAGCTTGGCAGGCCTAGAATCAGTCTGAGCCATGAAAGGTCTGACAAGGACTGCCCTAGTGACCAGACTCCTACCAAAGTAGCATCTGTCAACCTCTGCATTTTTTTTTTAATTTTGTTGGTACTGTGGATCAAACCCAGGGCCTCACACATGCCTAGCACCTGTTCCATCACTGTGCTATACTCCTGCCTAACCTCTGCATTTTTGGGGTTCCATTCTTTAGGTCCTAACTAGCAATTCTTCTTTGATTCACGCCACCTTTATCTGGTCCACACGCTAGTGGATTCTACTCCTACTTTGTTGTAATCACAATCTAGTCCTGACTTCTCAAAGTCTCACTGGGTCATAATGATAGAAATGTGTGTATTGACCCCAAACTCTGCAGGTGTCCACTTGAATCCTGCCCCCACTGGTGGCTTATCTCACCCTTCTTGTATAAGTACCCCATAAAAACAGCCATATTTCTTTCTTGGTCAAGTTCTTGGGCACCCCTCATACATAGTAGTAAGTACTACTAAAAAGAATATTCACTTGAACAATAAATTTATGACAATAGCAAAAAGAAATATATGAATTGGGATAAATTATTAATAACCTGAACACATTCTTAGGGAATAGATTCCTTACATGTATTTCTCATATTTCTTTTTCTTTGAAACCTTAAGACAGTGTTTTTGTTAATCAAGGCATTCAGTCATCATAGCAACTTGAGCTCTGAAGATACTTCTATTAAGGACAAACTCTCAGACAAATTTTCTACTTTGGTTGGATGTGATGGGGCCCACCTGTGGTCCCAGCTACTTGGGTGGCTGGAGAATTGCTTGAGCACAGGAATTTGAGGTCAGCTTGGAGAACACAAGGAGACCCTGTCTCAAAATTTTTTTTTCTCTATCTTAACTTCTATATGTGTGACTCTCAACTTTTCATCTTACTATATTTAAACCATCTGCTCTCATTTTCTTGTGTTCATCCTCTTCCAACTATCACATTTTCTTGTTAGTCTTCACATCCCCTTGTGCTACTGCTTTTTTTGTTTTTTGTTTTTGATGGGACTGGGATTTGAACTTAGGGCTTCACGCTTGCAAAGCAGGTGCTCTATCACTTGAGTTGCACCTTCAGATCATTTTACTCTGGTTATATTGGACATGTGGTCTCAAGAACTATTTGCCCCAGGTGGCCTCTAATCAAGATCTTCCTGATCCTAGCCTCCCAAGTAGTTACAATTATAGGCTTGAGCCACTGGCACCCAGGAATATGCCTCTATTTTTATCACTCTGTGATGGCAATCACATAGAATCCCCCTCTCTCAATTTCATTTTTCTTATTCTTTTTTTCTCTCTCTTAATCTTGAATTTTTCCTTTTCTTTGTTCCTTCCTTTAGATATTTGATTGTTCTGCCCTTTCCCCTTTTTTCTCCCTGTGACTGTCCTCGTCAGTCCCTCCTTGCTTATTCTTCTATCTCAATGAACATTTCTGATTCTGACTTGTCCTCATCCCCCCAGTCTCTGCCTATCAGTTACTGTCAGCCTCTGTCTTTGTATTTTGCACTGCAGCTGTTTGTTCTTTGTCTTTCTGCCTGTCTCTAATTCAACTTATTTAATGCTTCTTTTCTCTGTCAGTGAATATTTCCATAGACTCCCTCCTCTGCCTCTGCCCCTTTGCTTCTCAGCGCCCCTGTCTAATCCCCCTCATCTGTTTCTACCTCTCTCCTCTCTGCTAATCTCTCCATCTGCCATGACACCTCTGTCTCTCCTGGGTCTGCCTGTTCCTCCTTATCACTCACTCTTACTGTTCACCTGTCTAGACTAGCTAGCTGTGCCTTCTACTGTTGGGGTCCATTTCTGACTGTTTTTATTCCCATTTCTCTTGTCTTGTTTATGACCATTTTATCAATTCTGATTTGGTTCCTTTCAGCCTCTGTAAATCTTTCTCAATATATCTGCCAAGGAAAGGCTTTCTCCCTTGCCCTCAGTCTCTCTTTGTCTCTGCCTTTGCTATGTAATTAATCCTCTCTTTCCTGCTATTCTCCTTCCATCTATGTGTATCTTCGACTTTCTCTCCCTCAGCTTTTTAGCAGTATTTTTCTTAATATTCCTGTCTCTTACCTCTGCTCCTGTGTCTTTTCTGTAGATGATTAAAGGTTATCTCTGTCTGTCCATTGATTAGTAGAATAGCAACCTTAATCTGCTCTACACTTCCCCAAATATCCTGAATGTTCTTACTAAGAAGGAAGGAGTCTTGTGCAGGAGGAAAAATGCAGCAGAAACAGCAGGGAGAAAGGAGAACTTTTGAATGAGTCCCAGAAGAGGTCAACTTGTCCTTCATCCCAGGGCTGGAGATGTGGCTCAAGCAAGCACAAAGCCCTGAATTCAAACCCCAGTACCGCTAAAAAAAAAAAAAAAAAAAAAAAAAAAATTCTTTTCCTTCATCCCTCTTCAGCCAAGTGGGAGCTCCTCTACCTGCTCTACCTTGCCCTATTCCTCAAAGAAACCTTGGGCCCGGGAAAGCCCTATCCTGGGCACCCATGTTGAGTGCTTGAGTCCCTTCTATGACTCTGGGTTTCTATGCTGTCCTAAGAGGACAGGCCTAGCCTCATGCTCATTCCTTTAAGAATTATTTTCTTTGAAAGCCGGGTGCTGATGGCTCATGCTTATAATCCTAGCTATTCAGGAGGCAGAGATCAGGAGGATCACGGTTCAAAGCCAGCCCCGGCAAGTAGTTCATGAGACCCTATCTCAAAAAAAAACCCTTCACAAAGATAGGGCTGGTGGGGTTGCTGGCTCAAGGTGAAGGCCCTGAGTTCAAGCCCCAGTACTGTAAAAAAAAAAAGAATTATTTCAGAAAGTACAAAAAAAATTAAAAGGCTGGACACAGTAGACTACTGTTAAGTCTAAACTCAATACCTGTAGTTCAGCTTTGAGAACCAGATGTATCAGCAGCAATTGCCAGGGCCTTGATTCTTCTGTCACTTGGTAACTGTCATGCCCATCCCTACTGGCAGCAGATAATGTCTCTTGTGCCCTCTCTTCCCACTGCCAAAATTTGGTCATAAGTGAAGTCTCTCTTCCCTCTGGCCCTACCCCATCCATGCCAGATGGCTCTGATCCTAGTAGGACCTCATCTTCTCTCATCTGTCCCTGTGCTAAAGCAAATGGTTTCTGTTTCCACTGGCAAGTTTCTCCCAGCTTCATGCCTCCAACCACCTTTACTGTTAGCACTAGCTATACTTCTTTGAAGTCCCCCCCCTCCATTCTGGAAAGGATGGTTATCTGATGATGGAATTCAGTGAACATAACCCAGTTTCCCCACTGGTCACCAACATCAATCTTTCTTCTTGGATCTTAAAGGGGGAAGGGAGGACAGTTAGCTGGAAGAAGACCTGAAATACTAATAATACAGTTCAACTCTTACTCCCTTGGGGGACCATGCAGCAAAGACCACTGTCAGCTTGTCCCAGCTTCATTGCCCCCAGGGCTGGCAGAAGGGAATTCTTCTTTGTGGTCTTTCAGGTTAAGAATGGGACTGTCCCTGGTGACAAGTTCATCAACACAACATGTCCTGGTTCCCCTGGTCTCATTGTGCCCAAGGATGGGTGGGTGGGGCTGAGACTGCAAGATATCACTGGCTAGAATGTGGACACCCAGTTTGATGCTCATGGCACCCACAGTGACCAGCCCCATTCCACCAAGGACAACCAGGGCAAGAGGCTCCTGGTGGTGCTGCCTGAGCAACCAGAGATTCATCCATCACAAAGGAACCAAACAGAAGAGGGCCAGGGTGCCCCAATTAGTTACACTAAAGGCCAGAGAGGGGGCTTGGTGAGCAAGCAACAGCAGCTTCCACCCATGCAAGCAGGCAGAGTTTAGTCCCAGGAGCCAACACCATAGAGAAGCCCAAGTAGTAGCCAGACAAAACAGCAGTGCTGAGGTAGCTCACTACCTAGGAGAAAGGGTCAAGGTCAGAGGACCTTCCATGAACTGCACCCATTATGTTCCAGTATCTTATTCCTTATACAAGGAACTCCTAAAGCATTTTGTGACCTTCTTCCCCAAAAACCCCAAAAAACTTAGGCTGGCAAAGTGATTCAAGCAGTAAAAGTACCTGTATAGCAAGCATGAGGCCCTGAGTTCAAACCCCAGTGCCACCAAAAACAAAACAAAAAAACCCTGATCTTTATTCTTACCTTTATCTTTGGGGCCTGAGCAGCTTTTGCCCAGGGACCATCTTACCCTGGGGTGACAGCATCTGAACAGTATCCCCCAACTTCCATTCCTGGGGTGTTGAGCCTCATCCCACATACTATACCATGCTCCTCTTCAGAAAGGACCATATTCGATGTTTCTATGATCAGCTGGACACTTGTAAGGGATACAAACTCCTTGGGAAGTGTCCAGACTCCCAGCTGTGGTCAGCAATGAAGCCCTCCCCACAATTCAGCCCAAGATTGGGAGGATAGGGCCAGGTGCTGGTGGCTCACACCTGTAATTCCCTACTTGGGAAGCTGAGATCGGGAGGATCATGGTTCAAGGCCAGCCTGGGGAAATAGTTTTCAAGACCCCATCTCCAAAATAACAGACTAAAATGGACTGGAGGTGAGGCTCAAGTGGTAAAGCAACTGCTTTGCAAGTGTGAAGCCCTGAGTTCAAACCTCAGTCCCACCAGCTGCAGTCACAGAAATTGTGGGAAGTCAGAGGGTAGAGGCTGAAGAGAGGTTGGGACCCCCATGTTGGGCTTGCCTCCCTTCCTATCTGGCCTTGTCCTTTGGAGTCTCACCACCAAATGGTGACTGAGAAGGTCCCATGCTTGGCCCAAGGTCTGGTTCCACAGCAAGTCAGCTGCATGGGGTAGGAAGTAAGTTGTGGGCAGGAGGGAGGGGTGTTAGCCTTCCTCTGAGCTAGAGCACAGCCTAAAGAGGAATGTTAAGCCTCCCTTTCCCCAGTTCTTTACTTTTTACAGCAGTAACTCTCCAAAACATTTGATCCCTGCAGAGAAGAGGAAAGAAGTCCTGGAATTCCAATTCCAAGGTTGCCTTCGGTGGTCCAACCTTTCCTGCAGACACCCACAGACACTGCCACCAGGAACAGCGTCCAGGAATCCGTCACTATCTGAGGATACAGCGACAGCTGGGGGAGAGGAAGGAGTTATGGTCAGTCTCTCCTAGACTCCGACCCATTCTCCCACTGGGTACACCCTCCCACCCATCCACATCCCCACCCCAGTCTCAGACTTTGAAGGTCTCCTATCAATTCCAAAGGTGCTGGTGGAGTCTTCTTCTAACCTCAGCCTTCCACCCTCTCATGTTAACTCCATTGCCTCTTGAACCCCCCAGACCCTACACCAGAGCGGTGAAAGCGAGAGCGAGACACAGATGGCTCACCACTTCCAGCGATGCTGAACTGTAGATCCTGAGTGGGTAGCAACCACAGCCTTAGAAACGTGGCTAAGGAGGCTCCGGGGATGAGGAGCCCGGCCGACCAGCTAGGTCCTGATGGGCCGCTATGGCCCCCGAGCACCCTGTAAGGTCGCGGCGTCAGTGATCTGACTTCCCCGCAGGGCTTGGAAGGACTCCGCCACAACTTTCCCGGCTTGTCCACGCCCCCATGGCTCCGCTGGGCAGTGATTGGAGCAGCCGCGGGGCCACCGCCCATGGAGCCATGGCAACCGATCGCGTCCCGCCCAACGGCGGACAGCAGTTTAGGGGCTCTTGGGCATCCAGCGGTACCACCGAGCTCAGGGGCACTTCCGGGATGTCAACAGGGGTCTTCTCCAATTCCACGTATCCCGAACCTCTCAAAGTTCCAGAAATGGATCGCTAGCCTAATCTTACCTGACATCCCCGGCGACCCCGCCCCACCAACTTTCACCTCTTTCCTCATCTCTCACCTACTGGCCATCCCCTCCCCACACACCTCCCCAGTCACCCTCACAATCCAACGCAACCAACCCCCACCAGCCTAAACATTGTCACCATACTGCCTCACTTAGCAGTGTCAGTTGTAGGTGAGGCGATGCCTCACTTCCTTGGAGCCACCCGCATGTCCTAGCAAACCTGTAATTCCAGGAGTCCTGCCCCTAACAGAATACCTCCCAAACAATGCCCCCATTTTCGAGAAGCAATCCACTGGGGACACCACCCCTCCCTCCTTTCATTTATTTTTTTTTCCCTCAGAGTATCCTTATTTGGAAGGGAAGTCTCTACTAAAATCTTGAAAGCATTCCCCCTTAAGGGCTTGGTGCCTGCAGAGGGCAAGCAGAGGTCAGACAGGGTCACCCCAAAATTGGGGCAGACTCAGAAGAGATAAAGACCATGGTGTTTTCAGCTACAGGACTATTAATATTGTAGATCCCTTCAGCCTTGGGAGGAAAATCCTCCTAACCTCTCTTCCCCTGAATAGTGACAGATTTTTACTGTTTTCCTTCCTTCTTACTCCACACCTCTTTAGCTGGCTGACAGCCAGCAAATCAGAGCACTGCTTTCTGTATGTAGAGAGGATTAATTCCAGCTACTTCTAAAGAATAAAGTCACAAGGCTAAAAGTGTGGCTCAGGTTCTCCTAGCTTGCAGGAGGATTGGGTTTGATCCCCAGGACCTGGGGGTTAGGGGGGAGAGGAAGCTCATATACCAATAGGTGCTCCAACAAAACATTCTCAGCAAGGGGCTGGTTCATTCCTTCCATCTTCTACATCCACTTCTCCAAAGTTTAAAATAATTGCATTGATCTTTTACATTAATATATGAAAACAGTACACAATTAATGTACAAAACTTGGAAATTACAGAAAAACCGAAGAGGAAAATTATAATTGTTTTATTCTGCCATCCAAAGATACATCCTTAATCCTCCTGGTAGCTAGGATTACAACAAGTGTGAGCCACCAGCACCTGGCATATACACTCAAACTTTAAAAACAAGTTTTGTGGGGCTGAGGTAATGGCTCAAGTGGTAGAGCACCTGAGTAGCAAGTGTGAGACCCTAGGTTCAAACCCCTGTACCACCAAAAAAATTTTGTTTAAAAACAAAATTAAGATCATAAAATACAGCCCAGCATGTTGGTGAATGCCTGTAATCCCAGCAGTTGGGAGGCAGATGCAGGAAAATAGTGAGTTTAGGGCCATCCTAGGCTACGTGAGACCGTTTAAAAAAAAATCACAAAATACATACTATTTTTTGTAACCCTTTAATACTCCAAAAGTATTTTTCTTTCCAGTAAAACATTCTTCTACATGATTTTAATGGTTGTACAGTACTCCACTTGACAGAGATACAATAATTTACTTAAGCAATTCCCTATTGCAAATCTTCATTACAGCAGAAAAGAATGAATTCCCAAACAGTTGCTTTCCATTTTTCTCTACTGCAACCCTGAGATGAACATTTTATAGCTAAATCCTTAATAATTACCGTAATATAAATTCCCAAACATAGAATTACTAGATCAAAGGACATGGAACCTTTTTGGGTATTTGATACATATTACTAAATTTCCATCCAGGAAGGCTATGCTAATTTATATTCCCACATGCAAATGTCTGAGAGTGTACTTTCACCAATATTAGGTATTATTTATTTCTGTCATAGCATGCTAACAGAAAAATGCTTCCACTGATATTTGCCTTCCTTTAATTACTAATGAGGAATACATTTTTCATGGCTGTATACATTTGAATTTCTTTTATGAACTTCCTGTGTATGTCTTTTTACAGCTGGTTCACCCTCCTGAGGCTGCTTACATAAAAATTACAGGGTAGGGGAGGGGGGAGGAGAGTGAGGCTGCAGGACACTTCACTCCCACATCTCCAAGGGAGGCAGAACTGGAGAGAAATGCTGAGGAGATGGCTGGAAGCTTGTCTTTGATGGTGGCTGGCTGTTCTCCTTCCTCCTGGGGTGTTCCAGGCCTTTATGGGTTCCTCTTCTGGATCCCTAGATAGAGTCCTGTGCTCTCCAGGGCTGGTACTTCAATAGTCTTCTGCCTGCCTCTGTGTTGCAGGCTGCCCTTCCTCACCTCTGCCCCATGTTGGTGAAGATGGCAGAGCCACATACCCAGCACTGTGGAGACACACTGTGGCCAGTGAAGCAAGGAGGGGAAGAAAGGATGGAGGCAGTGTCCGGGGATAGAGCGATCTTTGTCACAGCCTCTGAGTAGACTCAGTCTACTCACCCCCACTCTACCACAGTCTCACACATGTCCTATCCCTGGCTTAGGCTGTAGAGGGCCTGGGTTCAGTGGTCTACTCTCCCCTGTCTTTCACTTTCTCATAAGTGGAGAATAGGATAGAGCTCCCTACACATCTCCCATCAGACAGAACAAACAGGCCCTGGACTTGGCCACCTTCTGTTAGGGAGATGGCCACAGTTGAACCATGTCAGAATCTGAGCCCAAGCCGAATGAGAATGGATGAGGAGCTGGAGGTGGAAGGTTTATACTTCCTGGTGTCCAAAAAGGGGTCACATCCCACAACCCCTTTCCCCTGGTTGCTGGGGAACAATATTCTGCCTGCACAGGCCTGAGCTGAGGCTCACTCACTATCCTGGACACAAAGTGAGAGAAGAAATAACAGTGGCGGCTAGGACCCCACCAGGGGCTACTGTCCTACTTTGGGTGGCAGGGGAAGCCTTGAGCCAATGTAGAATTGAGCTCCTTTTGGCCCTTTGCATTGGTCTAATTCTAGTCTCCCCCTCCACTGCCACACCTCAGCCACTGGGGTTGTAGTTGGGGACGGGGAGGGACAACTTATGTGAAAAGCTGTTTTGTTCCTAATCACAAGGGAAGAGAGGCCAGGCTCTGAGTCAGTACAGGTAGACTTGGGATTCCCTCCTGCATATTCACCTGTGAGATTCTCATTTCACAGGTAGAGAAACAGGTATAAGGGTCCTGTGCAGTTAAGGATCCCTAAACCTAGAATCCAGACAAGTCTAAAAAATAGAGGGAAAGGAAAGGGCATAGGGATGACTACTCAGATCAGCTTCAGTGTCACCTTTCTCTTGAAGAATACACTCACCTTTGGACCTCACCTGGAAAGGAAAGTAGGGGAGAATGGGAGATAAAGAAGGAAGGTCAAGAAGGAAATATAGGTAAAGGGGCAGACAGAATTTCCTTCTCTCCATATCTTTCCTTTGCTACACAAAGACCAACTAATCTTGGTAGTTTGAGCCACCTATTCCCCAGTTCAGCCGGTGTCTCTAATCTAAAAGTACTCTCTTGCTAGGTCAATCTGGGTGAAGGGTTCTTCAAATGAGTAAGGTTCCCCTTCCCAAAATCTATTGTCACCCCAGTTGTTCAGACCTTTCTAGCCCCAGCTGTCACCTTCCAGATGATAGGGAAAGCAGCTCCTTCTCCTCTTTCTCTTCTTCCTCTTTATCCTCGAAGCCAGGGGCAGAGGGCAACAGTTCTTCAACTGGCAGCTTTAGCTGGGTCAGGACATAAAGCTTGCCACTGAAGAACTACTGCGGCTCAGCCAGGTGAGGATGTGGGAGGCACAGGCTCCTAAAGAGAAGAGGAAAAAAAAAAAAACAGGAAAGATCTGAGCTGGGCCGTGTCACACTGGTCATGGATGCCCAGTTCCATTACACTCTCAATGTTTTACTGAGGGGTTCTTGGCTCTATCTTGGCCTGCAGGAACTCTTAACTTCAGTGAGAAGCAAGAGGAAGTTCTAAATGTACTTCCCTTGCTCTTTACAGACAAGGAGGCAACAGAAAACCCTAATAACCGACAAGGGCTTCAGCCCCTTTAGCATTCAGAGGACAGGGCCTAGGACCCTGAATATACCCCACCAGTCACCCAGGTCCCAGGTGAGAAACTACTTCAGGTCCAGAAATGTAAATTAAATGATCAATCCAGCTGACTTGTTCCCAGGGAATTCAGCTGGAAGGAGGGCTTGGTGTGTGTGGGGGGGGCTAGACTGGGGAAGAGTGCGGAAGGGAGGAGATATAGAGTTTGGAAGAAGGTCAGCAGAGGCTCCTGGGACTGAGAGGGAGAGGACAGTCGAATGAATGCTGGAGGGGAGGGAGGTATGGGCAGGGTGGCTGGGCAGCTTCCTCAGGACTCTCAGATGCCAGGCATTCCGCTTGCACATTCCGGGTACATCTGGTATGAATTCCAGGCTGTCTGCCGGCCCCTCCATGTCTGAACTTTGTTCCAAGTTCCAAGCCCCGCCCCCACAGTTCCAACGCATGAATCAGCAGGAAAAGCCGGGCCCTGCAGCATGGCCCAGGGAGGGGGCTGGGGGCGTGGCAGGCTTGAGGGCTGTGAGCAGGGGAGGAAGGGTCAGCACTGACACTCAGTCCAACGGCATGGCCATACCAGATTGAGGGGCCAAGGCGATTTTGCCTTGAGATTTCTATACTCAAGTTAGAAAGATTAGGGTGGGGGTGAGTTTTTTCAAATTCCGAAAGCCTCTTGGGAGGCATGAACTTTGTAGTATCTTCCTTCTCCTAGGTGACCAGTCCCAACTCTGTCCAACCCCTCTCTGCCTGACATGGCTCTGTTCAGCCCACAGGATTCAGAGGCTGCTGAGAGTTTGTGCCAAGCAGGTGCCCTTGGCTGCAGGGCGGGGTGGGCCCAGGGCACTGACCCTCTGACCAGCTGCTCCATCAACCCTCTGGCACCATGACAGTTTCTAGCCTAGTCTGACAGTCAGGATGACAGGC